TTTGAGAATACAATTCTAAAAATTCTAAAAATTCTAAATTTTTCCAAGCTCCAATTTAGAATTTTTAGAATTTTTAGAATTCAAAGCTGGATTTGGGGAAGTTGAACTAATTCTAATTTAGAATTTTTTGAATTTTTAGAATTCAATTCTAAAAAGTCTAAAAATTCTAAATTTTTCCAAGCTCCAAATTTAGAATGTTTAGAATTCAAAGCTGGGTTTGGGGAAGTTGAACTAATTCTAATTTAGAATGTTTAGAATTTTTAGAATTCAATTTTAAAAAATCTAAAAATTCTAAATTTTTCCAAGCTCCAAATTTAGAATTTTTAGAATTTTTAGAATTCAATTCTAAAAATTCTAAATTTTTCCAAGCTCCAAATTTAGAATTTTTAGAATTTTTCGAATTCAAAGCTGGATTTGGGGAAGTTGAACTAATTCTAATTTAGAATTTTTAGAATTTTTAGAATTGAAGTCTAAAAATTCTAAAAATTCTAAATTTTTCCAAGCTCCAAATTTAGAATTTTTAGAATTTTTAGAATTCAATTCTCAAAATTCTAAAAATTCTAAATTTTTCCAAGCTCCAAATTTAGAATTTTTAGAATTCAAAGCTGGGTTTGGGGAAGTTGAACTAATTCTAATTTAGAATTTTTAGAATTTTTAGAATTCAATTCTAAAAATTCTAACAATTCTAATTTTTTCCCAGCTTCAAATTTAGAATTTTTAGAATTTTTAGAATTCAATTTTCAAAATTCTAAAAATTCTAAATTTTTCCAAGCTCCAAATTTAGAATTTTTAGAATTTTTAGAATTCAATTCTAAAAAATCTAAAAATTCTAAATTTTTCCAAGCCCCAAATTTAGAATTTTTAGAATTGAATTCTAAAAATTCTAAAAATTCTAAATTTTTCCAAGCTACAAATTTAGAATTTTTAGAATTTTTAGAATTCAATTCTAAAAATTCTAAATTTTTCCAAGCTCCAAATTTAGAATTTTTAGAATTCAAAGCTGGATTTGGGGAAGTTGAACTAATTCTAATTTAGAATTTTTAGAATTTTTAAAATTCTTAGAATTTTTAGAATTCAATTCTAAAAATTCTAGAAATTCTACATTTTTCCAAGCTCCAAATTTAGAATTTGTAGAATTTTTAGAATTCAATTCTAAAACTTCTAAAAATTCTAAATTTTTCCAAGCTCCAAATTTAGAATTTTTAGAATTCAATTCTAAAAATTCTAAAAATCCTAAATTTTTCCAAGCTCCAAATTTAGAATTTTTAGAATTCAATTCTAAAAATTCTAAAAATTTTAAATTTTTCCAAGCTCCAAATTTAGAATTTTTAGAATTTTTCGAATTCAAAGCTGGATTTGGGGAAGTTGAACTAATTCTAATTTAGATTTTTTTTAAATTTTTAGAATTCAATTCTAAAAATTCTAAAATTTCTAAATTTTTCCAAGCTCCAAATTTAGAATTTTTAGAATTTTTAGAATTCAAAGCTGGATTTGGGGAAGTTGAACTAATTCTAATTTAGAATTTTAGAATTTTTAAAATTTTTAGAATTCAATTCTAAAAATTCTAAATTTTTCCAAGCTCCAAATTTAGAATTTTTAGAATTTTGAGAATTCAATTATCAAAAATCTAAAAATTCTAAATTTTTCCAAGCTCCAAATTTAGAATTTTTAGAATTTTTAGAATTCAAAGCTGGATTTGGGGAAGTTGACCTAATTCTAATTTAGAATTTTTAGAATTTAAAAAAAATTAGAATCCAATTCTAAAAATTCTAAATTTTTCCAAGCTCCAAATTTAGAATTTTTAAAATTTTTAGAATTCAATTCTAAAAATTCTAAAAATTTTAAAAATTCTAAAAATTCTAAATTAGAATTAGTTCAACTTCCCCAAATCCAGCTTTGAATTTGAAAAATTCTAAATTTGGAGCTTGGAAAAATTTAGAATTTTTAGAATTGAATTCTAAAAATTCTAAAAATTTTCAAAATTCTACACATTCTAAATTAGAATTAGTTCAACTTCCCCACATCCAGCTTTGAATCCTAAAAATTCTAAAAATTCTAAATTTGGAGCTTGGAAAAATTTAGATTTTTTAGAAATTTTAGAATTGAATTCTAAAAATTCTAAATTTGGGGCTTGGAAAAATTTAAAATTTTTAGAATTGAATTCTAAAAATTCTAAAAATTCTAAATTTGGAGCTTGGAAAAATTTAGAATTTTTAGAATTTTTAGAATTGAATTCTAAAAATTCTAAATTTGGAGCTTGGAAAAATTTAGAATTTTTAGAATTTTTAGAATTGAATTCTAAAAATTTTAAAAATTCTAAAAATTCTAAATTAGAATTAGTTCAACTTCCACAAATCCAGCTTTAAATTCTAAAAATTCTAAAAATTCTAAATTTGGAGCTTGGAAAAATTTAGAATTTTTAGATTTTTGAGAATTGAATTCTCAAAATTCTAAAAATTCTAAATTTGGAGCTTGGAAAAATTTAGAATTTTTAGAATTTTTAGAATTGAATTCTAAAAATTCTAAATTTGGAGCTTGGAAAAATTTAGAATTTAAAAAAAATTTAAAATTGAATTCTAAAAATTCTAAATTAGAATTAGTTCAACTTCCCCAAATCCAGCTTTGAATTCTAAAAATTCTAAAAATTCTAAATTTGGAGCTTGGAAAAATTTAGAATTTTTAGAATTTTTAGAATTCAAAGCTGGATTTGGGGAAGTTGAACTAATTCTAAATTCTAAAAATTCTAAATTTGGAGCTCGGAAAAATTTAGAATTTTTAGAATTTTTAGACTTCAATTCTAAAAATTCTAAAAATTCTAAAAAGTCTAAATTAGAATTAGTTCAACTTCCCCAAATCCAGCTTTGAATTCTAAAAATTCTAAAAATTCTAAATTTGGAGC